ATCCTTCCCTTTCGCGGCTCCACTGTGCTCGGTCATGTGCTAAGTCTGGCCAGCAGACACCATGTGCATCTGCGAGTGAGCGCTCAACATTATCGACATAAAATTTGTGAGGATGCCTTGCTCCTACCAAAGGACTGAGTTGCTGTTGCGCTCTCCACCAGTGTGTGCTTCTCCATCTGAGCGCGCGCATGGGGAGTGAAGCGATCTGAGACGGGCCAACTTGTTCAACTCTTCTGGCCCAGTGCCCTGCCAGTGTGTGCTGAAGTGTGAGCAAAGTAGTCGACCACCTCTGTCTACCCGTAGCAGCCAGCCAAGCTCGACAGAGACGCATGCTGCGGGCATTCCAGTCGACCCACCTTTCAGCTCTTTCTCGCGGGATTCTGAACGCCATCCGAAGCAGATGGAGTTGTAGAGTGTTGGCTTGTCTGAGGTCCTCACTCGACCAGTGGACTGCGCCTGCCGTCCATTTGAATTGGGATTCCACCAGGTAGGACATCATCTTGGCCTTGTCACCCCAGCTAGCTTTGGCACAGAGAATGTCCCTATGCACCATAGCGGCAATCCTAGTTCTTCCCAGGAGTTCACGCGCTTGCTGGGAGGGTTTGGCGTGCAACGAGAAGTCCAAGCCTAGAACTTTGATGGATTCAGCCGGGGGGGCGATCTCAAATTTCGTCCCTCCAATCTGTAGCGCACGTGGACCACTGTAGAAGGGAGACGCGATGATCTTCGTCTTCTCTGTGGCTAAGTGCAGTCCACATTGATGAAGCCGTCGTTCCAGAACTTTGATTTTCCGTCCCAATCTTTCCAAGGCACTATCAACAACGAAGATGTCATCCTGATAAAAGACGAGATCAATGTCGAGATCTTCGAAGCCACGTCCAAGTTCACTCCATCCTCGATGGTCAGTGACGGTGCTGAGGATGTCATTCATGACGAGTCCAAACACTTCTGCACTTTCAGGCGCTCCCTGTTTAATACCAACATTAGGTTCGACCACAATTTCATGACCTCCCGGAACCTGACCAATGAGCTTGTAGGTACGCAGTTGTGCCAAAAGAAAGCGAAGTTCATGATGTAATTCACCCCCTGTGAGCTTGGCCTTCAGAAACTCGACCACTTTGAACCTGTCCAGTCTATCAAAAGCACCTGATATGTCCAGCTTGCAGATGAGAGTGGGAAGTCGCCATTCACGTGTGACATCCCTGATCCTACTGACGACCCCGATCACGTCTGCTGCTTGTCGCCCCTTGCCACATCCAGACACCCTGGAGCCACTCCTCATTGCCGGCATGACCCTCTCACAGATCAGCTTACTCACCATTTTGTGGAAGCTCGAGCTAACACAAATGGGTCTCAAGTCGCCCGGTTTTTTCGGGAAGTCGACCTTTGCCAGCAACGCACGGAAATTATCATTCCATTCTTCAGGGAGCTCCAGGTTCCTGACGATGTGATTGACCAAGTCGGCCAACTGAGGAGCAACAACTGGATCGCTAGCGGCAGCTCGGAGAAACCCCACACTGATACCATCGGGTCCAACCGCCGAGTGTGGTTTCATGTGCTGTAGGACTTCTCTGATGTCCATGATGCTGAAGTCTTGGAACTCATCACGAATTGGGATGGAGTCAATCTGATTTTGTAGAAGGTCATCCCAATCTCCCCCAAACTCGTTCACCAGCTTGTTCTCCAGGTGTTTTTGGACTTTGGCAGTGAGCTCACTGGACGAGGTATCGGCAAGAAGAGTGCCCCACCAACCATGTCTCCGTTTCTTTTCACGTTGCCTATCGCGATACAGGGACCAGTCCCCCTTCACAATCTGACTAAGACGATCGGACTCCCACTGTCTTCTTGCACGACGACGTAGTCTATGCACCTTCTTCCAATCAGCTTTGGTGTTGGACCCTTTGGCGGCATGTATGGCCTTCTTTACCTCATCAGGATCTTGATAGGCCTTACTGCACCTGGGTCTGGTGCATCTTCTTGCCAGGCCAGCAAGATCCTTTGCATCGACGATAACTTCATGGGGAATGTCAGATTGCATGTATCGTGCTCTCGAGTCGTTTCCCCATTTCAGGCCTGACTTCCGACTACTGTAGATCTCAGTGCGCAGGATGGCGTGGTCCGTCCCAATGACAAGGCGTCTTCTCGGCTCAATGGTGACCTGACTAACGGACAGAGACCTGGTCCAGAGAATGTCAATTTGCCTCCCTTGTCGTCTTTCATCACGAGGGAAGTGGGTCGGAGTATGCCACTGATTCCGACCCGGCGCGATGGGACGAGCGTTGAGCCCAAGCATCTGTGCTGCCAGGACATTAAAGTTGCTGGAGGCATTGCCAAGAATCGCCCTCTCACCATTCTCATCTTCCTCAGTGTTCCAGACAGGGTGTTCGTTCGCATCGCACCCACACCACATGGGGTATTGACGCCACTTGCCGGGACAGTCATGTGTGAATTGAAGAACTGCTCCTTGATATATGGCATTCGTCGCCCCGGTGTGACAGTGAAGGGACCCAATCACAACACGACCAAGGTCTTTAAGTCGGGCGAGCACCCAAACTCCGCGGCTTGTCGCAACCTTCCCAATGATAGAGTCAAGCTTGTCCTTGGCAATCCCGACCCCAACTGCGCGCCATTGATTTGAAGCTCTATGCAGCACGAAGTGGAAAAGATCGGTGTTGACAGTATACCAGCCTTCTTCAGCTCGAGAAACTTCCTGTACTCCTATCAGATCAAGATCTCGCCCCGCGACATCTAGCTTGCAGACTTCTTGTCCGCCCAGATTCCACGAGGCTGCACGTCCCCATCTATGTCTTGCACACAGTTTGGCACGGCTCTTGGATGTAGTCTTAGACTGAGTCCTTTTAAGCCATGGTGCATCTGCAACATCTAAATTCTCCCCGGATTCCTCCGGAGTGAAACAAGGCCCTTTTCAAAGCTCACGTTCAAATGCGGCCTTAGCCACATCGCAACTGCATCCACCCACCAAGCCCACAGCGTCCAGGTTCACCCACCCTCCTGACATCAAGACTGTGTCTGCTTCCTTTGGCTTCCTGTGCGTGGATGAGGCCAGCTTATGGATGCCGCACCACACTGTCCCCGCTGACCAGTCCATGTCGTATGCAGCAGGCTGTGTATGGAGCACGTTGAGGACACCTCCGCCCTCGTCTTTGCTGTCTGCGGCTAACTCCATGGTGACTCTACGTACCATACTGATGTGGGATGAACGAACGCGGGCGACCTTAGTCTTGACGAACGACGCCCACATCGTCTTCTCCTCACCAACCGACTTGGAGCTCTCCGTGACCAACTTCAACCTCGCAGCGATCTTCACGACCTGCCACATCCTCGACTTGGCGTCCTCGAAGTTCCTTTCGCCCTCCCTGACAACGAACTTGATAGTGCCCACACTGCGACGAGGACCATATACCGAGATCTTCTCCACATCTAGCAAAGGCCGGATTTCCGGATGGGTGAGCAACTGGACCGACTCTTCCTCGATCACGCTACGGCGAGTGTCCTGCGGCCAACCTCCAATGATGAGGGTGCGCCGATCTTCGTCAGTGAGAACGTCCTCAGAGCCACGTGGTTCACTGCCAACTTCTCCCCCGAGACCCTCATTCACCTTCTGCTTGGATCCAGCACCACGACGTTGAGCAGGTGGAAGCCATGGTTGTGAAGTCCTCCCGGTCTGCTGCTGCTGCTTGATATATTCGCCCCACGGATCATTTGCCTCGATTGCAGCATGACCAGCAACTCCTCCCTGAGCCTGAATTTCACCCATCTGGACCTTGAGCTTCTGCACATCCTCCGCAAGTTGGTCGACCTTCTTGTCGGTGCTCTCAAACTTCTTCTCGTGCAACTCGACCTTCTTCTTGGTGTTCTCGGTGACCTTCGTCCTGCCCGCCAAGGATGCGATCTCGCCCTTCTGGTTTCTCTGCACATTCTCCACCTCTCCTAAGCGGCTTTCGACCGTCCGCCATGCCTCCTGCATGTCTCGTCGATGTTCAAGAAGAAGTTCACGAAGCTCTCGCGCCGTAACAGACTGATCACTCTTGGAAGCTCGCTTGCTCGGGCTGTCGAGCTCCTCATCATCCGAATCTGGGATCCGGGTACATTCAGCATTTCCCCGTTTCTTCTTCCCCTCCTTTTCCTCCCTTTTGCGCTTCTCCTTCTTGTTCTCGTCGATCCTCATGGGTTCACCGCCTCCTCCCTCGTCATGACTGCTATCACCCGCGATCTCGGTGGGGGACCCTTCCTCCTCAACTTGCATGTCCCCCTCGCCCTTCGGGTTGCCATCATTCCCAACTGGAGCTTCCTCCATCACAATGTGCCGACAGAGAACGACGACCAGGACGTGCGAGGCAAATCGTCACCTCAATCCCCTCCTGGAGAAGAAAGGCCAGCGAACTCACCCCGGACCACAGAAGCAGACGCAGACTCCCAAACTCCCAAAGACACCCCCGAGGAAGCTGAAGTGGCCGCCAGATCACCACGTCGCCCAGCAGCCCCAGAGTGGCAAACAGGTAGTCGCCCTCGCACAACTGGCCGCCCCGTTCTCGAACAGCTCACTGGCAAACGCGGAAGGAAGGGAAGGGCCTAATCAGGAAAATTGCATGGAAAGAGCTCGGGCCATACAGCTTGAGCCGTAGCCAGGGTGTAGGGTTTAGGGTTTAGGGTTTAGTGTTTATGGTTTAGGGGGCCACTTGCCTTTCGCATTTCGGAGATCTAGTGTTTTCCAAAAGGGTCCTATAGGTACTGCTCTAGTTATGGGGGACACCTCAGCAAATCATCATGGAAGTTCCGCATAAAGAAACCTACTATACCCTAAACCCCACACTCTCAACCGTCTCCCTAGGGATCAAAATAGCCGAAAAGCCTTGTATTGTGTGGTCTTTGGGCCCAAAAGCCTTAAAATATGAGTCCTTAGATCCCTAGGGTCTGGGAACCCTTTGGGTTTGACGCTGAGCTCAAACCCTTCGGGTTCCATCCCCTGGGTACCCGACGGAGCGCTCGTGGCGTTTTGCGGCAGCAGCAGCCTCGTGACTGAGTAATCTGGGCATAAGGCGTACCCAAACCCATAACTGCAAGTACAATATTGGCCCAAGACCTACAAAAAGGCTAGGGTCCAGGTAGGGCTTAGGGTCGGGAGGGCTTAATAGCAACGCTTGTGCGGAAAACACCGGTGTAGCCTGTTCCTACCCGAGAGAAAATCAAAGTATATGAGTGTGTCGGCCGTTATGAAACCTTGGTCCCAGAAAGAACGAGTGATCCAAAGCCACCACATATAACGGTTCAGGGTTTAGGGGCTTAGGGTCATGGGTTGAAGATCCCAGCGGTGTGATTTGCAGCCGGATCCAGATGAAAGGGTCCGTCTGTCTACAGCAAGTCAAGCTCGAAGTATACATGTTCCTATATCGTCGAAAGGGCAGCTCTTAACGCCCTTTTGCAGGAGGGACCATTGAAAATACACCTATTCATGAGATCCAATCCAAACAGGCATCCTACCTTCTTCCTCTATTCTGCGGACGCATGTCTGGGACAACTACCTATACCTAGACCCCGAAAAGTAGGTAAAATAATGGCCTAAACCTTAGAAAAGGCTATTATTCTACATACTCTTGGGGTCCAGGTACATGTCATTGTTAATCTTCCTCGCTGTAGATCATGGCAGATCTCTTGGACCTAACGTTCCCGTGCAGAAAGCCACGTGGGTCATGTGGGTGCTTCCCGAAAATAGGGGACTCTAATGTAGTACCCTATATAGTAGGATCCTCATTATAAGGACCCTAAAACAAGGTACCCCTAATTCTCGGAAACTCCCATGTAATGTAACGCCAACGTAACCGCAGGAAGTTGGACACCCATGCCCATCTCTGCGAGGGCTTCGGGTTTAAGGCTTTTTAACCCCAGCACCACTTAGGGTGTCGGGCTTAACCAGTGCAGGGTCCAGAATTCAAGAATTACCAGTCCCAAAGCTTCCTCACGGCTCCTCAACACAACTATACCATACTACAATAAACTCCAGCACCCTGTTATAATCGTAAGGCCCCCCATATTGCTTGGCTTATCTCTTTGTGTGGGTGGTTGGCAAAAATAGGGTCCCTTTTTGGGTCCGAAACACATAGTACGGCACCTATTATTTAGGGTGGAAGAGTCGATGCCCGGAACGGAAACTTGCCAGTCGCCGGGGCCCTCTGTAATTACCGTGTAGGGTTTAGGGTTTATATATAGGATTTTGGCTTTAGGTTTTAGTGTTTAAGTCAATCCCCAAACTCGAAGCTCAAAAACCTGAACGTCTTTTAAACTCAGAAAACTTTGAAAACGATGCCGTTCTTAAACCTAATATCCTATGACACTTAAACCAAACCCCCCAAGGTAGGCAAAATAATGGCCCAATACCTATGAAAGGCCATTATTCTACATACTTTGGGGTCCAGGCAAAACCTTTGGGGTGAGGTTAGGATCCTACAAAAGAGATTTTGGCTAACCAAAAAAAAGGAACTACAATGGAGACTATTTAGGAAATATTTCATAACACTTACATTTTACCTACTTTGGAGGGTCTAGGTAGCACTTACAATGGCCTCCATGCCAAATTGGCGCACCGCCTGAGCAAGGCCCTTGCCCAGTCGCACTGCTGCGCGGGAGCCTTGGTTCTCGAAGCGTTGGACAGTTAGAGTATAGTGCTACATGACTACCCGGAGGCTCCAAAGTAGTTCCTTTTGAGGGTTCATATTTAGAATCCTATGAGGTAATCTAAAAAAGGAACTACTGTGGAGCCTATGGGTAGTTCATGGTTGGGATAGGATTGAAAATGTACATGTTTATTCCTTATCGGGTTTACGTCCCCATAAAAATGTACAATGTTACCCAACTCTGACAAAGATAAGTCATAATTGATACCCGAATATATTACAGTACTGTGGTACTGTGTAGTACTAGAGCTACCATCAGCTGAGATTTCAGGGACTGGGACTTGAAACAACAACCCACACCCACCAGAAAAATTCAGCTTCAAGGTGTGGGGTTTAAGGAGCGATTGTTCGATGTTACCGGCGGCTCCATCCCTCTAACCCTATAAGGGTCCATGTACCCAAAGGGTATATAACTGTGGCCTTATAAAGTGGGTCCCTACATAGGTATTGGGGCCAAAGTGTATACTATTTGGGTCCATGGGTCTACTTTCGGGTGCCACCACAGCTTCACCATTTTGGGGGTTCCTTATTATAGCTAGAGTATAGTAAGATAATACACCCGAAACCCTACTCTAATTACTAAAGGCCCCTATAATACCGCGCTTCATTGGATTCAGGGCTTGGGATGCCTACGCTGGATTTGAAGTTCATGTCCGTCTTATGCCTACCCAAAGGCCCCAAACGAGGTCCTTTTTGGGGTTCATATATAGAATCCTGTTAAGGTAATCGTAAAAAGGAACTACTATGGGGCCTCTGGGTAGTCACACCCTCTCCTCCTCCTCTCAACCAGGATGCCGAAGTCTGTGCCTAGAGCCATCAACTTTACAACCTGAACCCACATCCAACGAGAACACGCAAAAGCTTCTCAAACCCCGCATCCTAGTGTGTGGCGCTGGGGCGCTAGCACCAGCCCTGGATTACTAGATCCTGGAAGCCTAAACACCGACCCCTCCGGTACACCAAACCGAACACTAAATTGTGGGTAGTTCGAGTATACTAAACCCTGAACCCTAAACCCCAAACCCTATAACGGGAGGGTCCCATAATACCCTCAAAGGGAGCCTTATTATAGAAGCTCTCAAGGGGGCTTATTTTCAGCCCCCTAATGGCCTTAGACGGTAGCTGGGGCCCTGAATCTCATCCTTTGGGCTCAGGAGCCGGGGATAATGGGAGGGCCAGCAGACAGCAGCAACCTCGGTGGCCAGTCTTTGACGAAAGAGACTGCTCACTGTTTCGTGTTTAGGGCTTATAGGGAGTTTCTACGCTTCAGGGTCAAGGATTTTGGGTGTTGGGCTTGTGTGTATACCGTAAACCCTAAGACCTAATCCCTCAACTGTCATACTATACCAGCACCTCCCCAACCACCCGTCACTATTGGTGCCTCAGTAGCCACTATAAAGGACGATACGGCTCTATTGCAGCGTACTTCGGGGTGTGCTGGTGGGGTTTAGGGTGTACTTGGAGGTTCATGGGTAGTTATAAGTAGGTTTATAAGTTGGGTAACTATACTTATAAACCATATTAGGGGACATATAACCCCACGTATAACTACCCCTGAACCTCCAAGTAGGGGCTTTCGGTTTAGGGTACGTCAGCTAAGAGAGGATATTTGATTGTCTGTTCCGTATAACGACTACTTATAACCCCAATTAAGGTACTTGTAACCATACTTGCTAAGTCCCATGATCCTCCCAAGTAGACCCTAAACCCTAAACCCTATAGATCCCTTCGTAAGGAACCCTGTAGATCCCTTTAAGGAGCCCTCTAAGGAACCTTACTAAGTCCCATGATCCTCCAGATAGGGGTTTGGGGCGTAAGGCTGAGCGAGTTGGAGTTGAGCCCTGAGGCTTCGAATTCGGGCCTGAGGTCTCCGGACACCGGGGATGTCAGGTCTGGGGGATCGGTTTTGCTTAAAGGATCATGGGACTATATACTTGTAGCTACTTATATTCTTCATTTTAAGGTACTTATATCCATACTTACTACAAGAGGACCATGGGACTTAGTAAGTATGGTTATCAGTACCTTAGTTGTGGCAAGCAGCTACACATATGATAACCTTGATAACTGAAATCCTAAACCCTGAATTCGGGAGGGCCCTAACAAGCCTTAATAGTTAAAATGGGGTTCCCTTCAACGGGATCCGTAAAGGGATTATCAGGGATCTATCATAATAGGGTTTTATATTAGGGGCCTTAATAATTAGAAGAGGGTCTTGGGCCCATTATACTATAGTTACAATATGGAACGCCCCCAAAATATTGTAGTAAATTACTAAGGCCCCTATATTGCGTGTGCGACAGGTCCGACACTGCATACTCTTAACACTGGGTGCAAGATGTGCCCAAGTTCAGGCAAGATGCATTGATGCAAGTCGTAACCTCAGCAAGCAGTGGCTGGTAATGTAGGGGTTAAGCAACCTTGGGCCGTTATTAGGGTTCCTCATATGAATCCTAGTATTTTGGGGTTATAGGCCCAGGGTTTCTTAATTAGGTTCCTACATTGCAAAATCCCCGGCCCTGAAGTTGCACACAGCAGGGTGCAACTGACAGGTCCGGCGCAGTTGAGTCCGATACTGCATCATTCTCTGTGGAATGCTTGCCTGCGCTTGCTTCTGAGCCAACCACCCTGAAGACAGGTTCGTCTCTGTCGCATGCTGGGACACCGCCCGGAACTGCGCCAAATATCCTGCTCAAAGCACATGCAGAGCCCTAAACCCAATAAGAGCTTCGGCTTTGAAGCGGGGGTCCACGGCTTCGGCTAGTGCTGGTCGGGTTTAGGGTTTGGGCTTTGGGTATAGGTTTGGGGTATAGGGTTTATAAGAGTAGGGCCGACTGCTACTACTCCTACTACTCCTGCTACTGCTGCTGCCGCTACTACTACTACTACTACTACTACTACTACTACTACTACTACTACTACTATTACTACTACTACTGCTACTCTGCTACTAGCACAACAACTACTACTTCTACTACTACTACTACTACTACTACTACTACTACTGCTACTGCTACTGCTACCACTGCTGCTACTACATCTGAAACCCACAGCTTCTACAGTAAAGGCCGACTACGCTTGAACCCTAGACCCTGAGGCTCCGAAACTCCCCGAGCCCCTAAGCTGGGCTCAAGGTTTACCTTCGCCCCGTTACTTGGAGGTTCATGGGTAGTTATAAGTAGGGTCATAAGTAGGGTAACTATACTTATAACCCATACTGGGGGACTTATAACCCTACTTATAACTACCCCTGAACCTCCAAGTACTGGCTTAGGGGCTTACATAAGGAAATCCGCAACAAGGAGCCCTAAAAAGGTAGGTTTTACAGGGTCCGGGGGGGTCTAGATTTTATGATATCGTCACTCCATCCTCAACATTCCCCGCTCCACACCGTAAAAGCGACTCCACAAAGAAACACAGGGCCCAAAAACGGCACATAAGCAAAACTCAGCACAGGGATATCCCCATGAAATGCTTATGTCCTGTATGGATCCCTGAAAACATCTAATATACGGGCCTTAATAAGCAGAATGGGGTTTTGGGGCCCACTATACTATACCTATAATAACGAACCCCCCCCCCCCCCAAATCATATCGGTACTTATGAAGGCCCCTATCTTAGCCCACAAGACCTCCTGGGGTCCTCGTGTGGCGGCGTTGGCGGAGCGACCCCCGAGCCGCCGCAGCTTCGAGGCCACTTGGAGGGCAGCCGCGTGGAGCTGCGGGTTCGGAATTTCGGGTTCAGTAAGGGCTCCCTTAAAGGGGATTCTAAGGGTTCCTTGTTCCTTTAAAGGGCTCTGTAAGGGTAGTATAGGGTTCATCTAGTACCTACCTGGACCCTAAGGAACCTACCTGTTTAGGGTTCCCGAATATGATTTCGTCATATAAGTCCTTAACAAGCTAGGTTACGTGGGCTTAAGGTAGGGTTTGAGGGCTTATAACCAGGACCCCCCAATGGCTCTTTAATGGAGCCCTTATGGTCCTTAAAACTGATTTTTTTGATATATTAGAGTTTTTTGGGTTTTTTTTCTTTGGAGGGGGGGGTCTAAGAAGGCTTCCATTTAACTTAAGACCTTAAAATATCCCCGAAGCAGCCAACCTCCAGCCGCTTCCCCAAATTAAAGGTAACACAGCACACATGCTGGCAGAGTCCCTCGACTATTATACCGCACATCAAGACTCCTACTGAGACTGTTCAATAAGGTAGGCTTGGTACTCTGAAGTAACTGCCGCGGTGGTCTTGAGTATTCAAAGGAAACAAGAGTCCTGCGGTTGACCTGGACCACCCAACTATGCATCAACAACATCTCAGACACGCACCGACAAGCAGCATCTGACAACGGCTCAATATGCCCTTAAGACTTTGCACGGTAAGCCTATACCCTAAGCGGTCCTGACCCTTCAACCCTGAACCCAATACCCTAAACTGCCTAAACCGCAAACCCCAAAACCCTATATGTACCCTGCACCCCTAAACCCCTGATTCCGAAACCCTAAACCTAAAACCCCAAAAACAAAAATCCCAAACCCTAAACCCCTGAACCCCTGAACCCCTAAACCACTAAACCCCTGAACCCAACCCAAACCCTGAATTTCGGGCTCTTGAGGCTGCCTGGGATTCAACGCCGCAGCTGTCGGCAATCTGCTGTCCTGGCCCCGGGTTTAGGGGTTTAGGGTTTTGGAGTTCAGGGGTTTGAGGGTTTAATTAAGGGTTTAGGGTCTAGGGTTTAAGGGTTTAGGGTTTAAGGGTTTAGGGGTTTGATCTAGGCTTTAGGGTTGGGGGGTTCAGGAAGGAGCCGGAATGAGCTGGACTACGTAAAGGATCATGGGACTTAGTAACTGATCCATGAGGATATAGTTAGCGCAACTATACATATAAATGCTTACAACCTTATATCAGGTACGTAGAGCCATACTGACTAATTCCCATGCTCCTCCAAGCCGGGGCGAGGGCAAGGAGTTTGCAGGCGACTGTGCTTTGTTGCAATCTGGGAAGTGCGATCGACGGCGTAGTTCTTGTCTACTTTATTTTAGCACTGCTGCTGCTACTACTACTACTACCACCACCACCACCACAACTACTACTCCTACTGCTACTACTCCAACTACCACTACTACTGCTGCTGCTGCTATTGGGGGATTTATAATCCTACCTGAACCCTGCAAGTGCACCCTCAAGGTCAGGTCCTTCAGCCCGCGGCACGAAGGTGGACAGCTTTCTCAGAACTCGGCCGGCGAGAGGACCGGAGAAGATGGCCTCGAAATCTGTAACCCTAAGGCTCGAAATGGCCCAACAGCCAAATACAGTATGGTCTTTGGGCCCAGTAGCCTTAAAATATGAGTCCTTAGAGCCTAAGGGTAAGGAAGCCGTGGGAACTGGGGTGGGGACGTGGAAAAAAGGTTGCTGGAAGTCTGAGTCTGACTAGAATGGCTCTATAGAGGATACTATCTATACGGATGCTACAGTCTAGAAAAGTCCGATTAGAATGGCTCTAGAGAGGATAATTACTATCTATAAGGATTCTCTAGTCTAGAAAGGCATGCTTAATCTACGTGGATTGTCGTTATCTTCAAGCCGGGCTCATTTCACAAAAAAGGTAAAAACAGATCCCGAACATTGACGAAGACGCCTCGTGCTCACACTCAGCCACCATCCGGGAGGCAGCCGTCGCTGCCATGCCGACGGCCTGAAAATAAGAACCCCATACCCTAAACCTCTAAACCCCCTGAACCTCTAAACCCTCAACCTCTCTATCATGTAAATATTTCAACCTCAACGAAATTCAGCTTTTGCTTTCTGAGCTCCTT